GTGTTCGTATTCTTGTTATCATACACCCTGGGCCACCCGGCCTCTGATTGGTCGGCACGATCGGCCTATGGTTCGTTGTCCAGAAGCTGCAACGCCTACGCACTTTGATAGCGACATTTGTGAAGCTTGATTCACCAAAGTTGTCCGGAAACTGTAACGTATCGCCCCGTGGTTTGCATCATCCCGTAAGCTAGGATCATCACATGGACACAATGTCATTTTCAATCGTTTTTGGATTCACCGCCCACCAGTCTCGACGACCGTGTTTCGTGACCTCCATATAGCATAAGTGGTGGGGTTGGAGATAATAACTGAATAACTCAAGTAGAGGCCACATTGCGACATAAAGATACAGCTCAAGTTTACATGTTACATGAATGCTATGCTATGCTGTGCTTTGCTATGAAACCAATAACCTCCTCAAAATAGAGTACACGGACTGGTAGTTGCGTGACCACTGTGTGGAGTAGCACCGTTGCCATCATTTCATCACCATCTGCATCGGTAGAACTAAATCTTCGCACACGATTGACGGTAACCCGGATTGAGGCTTCGTTTACGGTGCACTGGGACAAAACGGTGATAGTTGATATTATTGTCCTATCCACGTATTCCTTCTGTACGCATTCCGTCTGATGGCGAGCCATCTTCGCGCGCATTTTTGTGTTCACCGTAGCAACAGTTTGTTCCAACAGGTCTTGTTCATTTTTGGTCATTGAAATAAATCGCAACCGATGGATTGAAATCGGACATGGGAATTGCAGCGCAGAAGGAGTTTCTCTAGGTGATCTGGCGGAATTCTCATATTTATACTTTTCCTTTCCATGCAATCACACTGTCATTTGTTTCTTTCTGGGGAACACTCGTAACATCCAGCCACTTTATCACCGCGTGACAGGGCAAAACAAAAAGATTCAAGATCGATTTTTTGGTAGTTCCCACAGTTTAAGAAAAGTCGTTCTCTCGTTCTCTTATCTCCTTATGTTGCTCTCCTGAGTGATGCAGTGTGCTGTAATTGGCTAATAGGTCATCACTGAACTGACCATCCTTCTCGGGTTTCACCTTCATGCACAATCCTCAGTTCATACAGTCAATCATACACTCGTGGAATCACTAAACTGGAGTTTCGCCCTTATCAGACTTCATGGGTAGTGCATCGTATCCATCGTCCTATTCGGGTTGGGTACCCCGGACCCATCGGGCATGTAAGGCGTGTGTGTTACCATTGTGCCAACCAGCTCATACCCGGGGCTGAACTGAATTGCCAAATCATGTTTGTTCAGGTATAGTCAGTCAGTTCAGGTTTGCCCGACAGCAACGAAGGAGACACAGTTAAGAACCTGTTACTCCATTCCAAAGACTCCCATCAAATCAGATCTCCCATGCAGGCTACGGGCTAATTGTCTCCAAACTTACTAGGACGGATTACTAATTCACATTTAGCTCGCAGTTACTCATGAGTAGTAAAGTGTTGTAATTGGAAACGTGCTCTAATTCTTTTGTTCTTCTCAGTTGGACTTGTTAAGTTGCTGTAAACCAACAGACATTAAATGATACTCTCGAGGAGATTCCACTTGGTTCTCATTATACCCAAATCATGATTTCATTTTAGACCAGTTTTTCATCATGGAAGATATTGTAACTGCGGTAAGTTTCATGTTTTTTGTTTGTCCTCAAAGGAGCATCAGCATTTTTGTCTCTTCGTTGTCACTCCAATGCAGTCCATATAGATGTTTATTTATTGATGAACTTCATATTACATGATTTTTCTTAATAATGAACCTTGTTTTCTTTTCTCCCAGTTAGAATGACCATATTTGAACAACATAATGTTCGCTGGCATTTGTATGATAATAGACTCAGCTGAGAATCTTCTGATTTGTTCAAATAATAGTGGTAGTATGATATGAATCGAGGAAAAATTTCATATATTTAACACCAATCCTTACAGATACGGCGCCAAACAACCATAGGTGAACGAAAAATATAGGTACAAAAGCGGGGAAAAGAAAACAGTCAACTTCGGGAGAAACAAAACACGTACAGGAAAAACACCAGGAATATATCAAATGTATGTGGAAAATAAGTATGGTGGTATGCCGTTTCAAGGTGATCAAAATGATAGGCGGATACAACGCAGATTGAAACAAGTAATCGAGAGAACATATAACGCCGCCTCCCTCATAATACTGCACGACACGAAGCGATTGCTCGTTGAATCCAATCTAGACAAACCCGACTCTTCAGTTACCGCCTTCTGTGTTTACCTATTTCAATGTGCTTGTAGTAGCAAGTACGTCGGAAGAACTGAGAAACGATTGTCTACCAAATTAGCAGAGCACGCACCAAAAAAGTTGGCGTCTAACGGGTCCAAGCTTCCGTCCAGTTCAATCGCCCAACACATATTGGATTGCAACGAATGTGACAAGCCTAGGGACGCCTTTCGTGTCTTGGTCCGCCAGAAAGGTAGTCATTTATTACGGTTCGCTGAAGCGGCTGCTATTCGATGTTACAAGCCCGGTTTGTGTAAACAGACCGAATTTCTGACTGGCCTTGCGCTGCGCTGGTAGATGTCACTGTCCTCCTCCCTCCCCCCCCCACGCTGCAGTGATTCTGCTCCCTGCCCCAATGTCCTATCCGGCTCCCATTAGTGAACTTTGGCCTTCGTATTGATTGATTTCTGTTTCCCATGTGTGCTCGCCTTATCCCAAACCTGTCACTTTTTTAAACCAAACGTGATCTGAATGTATGCACACAGCTGATGAGATTATCACGAAATAGTTGAATTCAACATATCCTGTGATCATGATGCTTCTTCTTGCTCTCATGAGATTACGTGATTGTTCTACGGGATGTTCACTTAATCTCATAGATTCTATAGAACGGAAAGAACAGCTCATTATGATACCCATGAGGTGAGAGAATCACTCATTTTTGCGATTTGATCCAGTCTCGATACAATCACTTCACAATCGGATGCATACACGGCTTCACTGTGGTAGACTGTTGGAANATGCTGACCTTGCTTCTGGTGCTACCACTTTTGGTTCACATGCATACCCACCAGAAAGTAATCCAGTGAAGTTAAATAGGGAGACTGTGGTGGCAGAGATATTGGTCCTTTCAGTCCAATTCTACACAACGGGAGAGTTTCACTCAACCACTCGGTGACCACCTTTGTGCTGTGCTGTAGTACTCCATCCGGTCAAAATAACATCCTGGATAAAACTGACATGGGTAAGCTATCGAGGTGAAGACCTAGTGTGTCCGGCAACGTTCCCTTTGCTCAGCAATATCACCGGGCCAATTTGTCAGTAGCCGTGGATTACGCAACACACACCTAACGAATGATTCAAGTCGACATGCGAGCTTGATCATGGTAAACGGTTTATTGTGTCATCGTATCACATCCCACATTTCTAACCCGACCGACCGAGATCAGCTGTCGTGATGTTCGTTCAACCGTCGAAGGTAAAAGGATCCCAATCTTGATGTACATACAAGCACGCACACACGTCTCCGTCTCCCTCGCACGTTCCTTCATGCGGTCAACGATAGAGCAACTTGTGTAGTTGAGATTGGTCAACCTTATTGCATCATATGATCTTGAAGGCCATTTAGTGAGCCAGTTTGTGGGTGTGTTCATGTGTGTGTGCGCGATCATGTACACTACCGCAACACTCGATTACAAAATGGACTCCTGTGAATTCTCTGAGGGATCCAGTGTGTGTCGTTCTGTAACCCCAATCCAGTATTGATTGAATGTGTCAA